GTTTTGAATGATTTTTTCACTCAATTGCTATTTTGTTTTTGGTGATTTGTAGGTTGGAATTTAATGTTACCATAGTTTTTATTCTGTTAAATGCTGGTTGAAAGATCCTCTCTTGAGATTATGTGAAATTTCTGTAAATTTTGGAAGTTATCACTAAACTCTTTGCCTTCGTTGATTTTTTTTATTTGTTTGTCAGTTCTTATACCTTGAGAAAATTATGTTGGAACAAAGCTTTTGAGGTTGAGATGATTATGGTTTGCTTTTAATAAGGATCTGATAAATTGGATTTGATGGTTTGTCTAGGGAGATAGATTTTTGTAGATGTTGCTTTGCATCTTTTGAGCAATCTAATTATGAAGGAACAAGGTTTTTGAGATTTAGCTCACCATAGTTTGCTTCTAATGAGGATTCAATAAACCAGATTTGATGGTTTGTTTCGGGAGATTGTCGTGTGAAGATATGTTTGCATTTTTTTTCTTTCCTAAATGTTGCTGTGTATATGTTTGTTGGCCGTTCATCTTCTGAGAGAGCTAAGTATTTGCGTACTTGGGGAAAAAGTTCCCGAGGTTGCGCTGATTTTAGTTTGTTTTAATTAGGATCCTATAAATTGGATTTGATGGTTTGTTTTCAGAGACAGTCATGCAAAGATATGTTAGATTTCTGCAGATATTGCTTTGGATGTGTTTGTTGGTGCTTATCTTTGAGCAAACTAAGTCTGTAGGAACAAAGTTTAGGAGATCGAGCTGATTATAATTTGCATTTAATCAGGATCAAATAAATTGGATTTGGTCATGTGTTTTGGAAGACGGTCGTGTGAAGATATGTTTGATTTGTTTAAATGTTTCTTCATATGTGTTTATCAGCACTTATCTTTTTAGCAAACTATGTGTGTGGCCACAAAGTTTCCGAGATTGAGCTCACTATAGTTTTATGCTAAATTAGTGGCTTTAGAAGTCGAAATTCGATCCTATCATGTCAGTTCTTGGTCCGCTGATCCATTTTGGTTTCTTGTTTGTATTATCTTTGGCACTTTGATAAGATTCATGGCCTTGTTTTGCAACTTAATATTTGTAGCTTTTTTTCATGTCATTGTGTTTGATCTTTCCATAGAGGGTGAAGATACGATAAAACTTCAGCTCAATGACATCGGATTAGACTTTTCATGGCCAGTCGGAAGAATCAAAGAAGTGCTATCTCACTTAGGTTCTCCATTTTCTTCAACACCCACATCATGCTCACTGGAGACCGTTAAATCTCTTGCTGCTCTTGTTGATGAGAAAAGTTTCCCTGACTCAAAGATCGGACTTGCTTCTGGGGTTTATGCATTTCTTTGGTTGTACACCTCTATCTTAGGGTTTGTATGCTGCCTCATGTTAGTCTTTTTAACTATAATTATCGTCTCAAGTATCTAGTTTCTGACGTATTGATGCAACGAGCCAGGTTTAAGCCAGCTACAGTCGTTGTTTCTTCTGAGCTTCCAGTGGGTGCGGGTCTGGGCTCATCGGCTGCATATTGTGTTGCACTTTCAGCAGCTCTGTTAGCCCTTTCAGATTCCGTGAAATTGGACGTAAGCCAAAAAGGATGGTTCACGTTTAAGGCTGAGGCTGAATTGGTGAACAAGTGGGCTTTTGAAGGGGAGAAGATAATTCATGGAAGGCCCTCCGGAGTTGACAACTCGGTTAGCACATTTGGTATGCAGTTTGTTCAAAGTGATTCATAAATATTCATGCTTTTTTCTTCAAATTCTTTTAAGAATTAATTTGTTGCCCCTCTATCATTGCATCATTATCCCGAACCAACCACAATTTGGAACAAATTTGAGTTTCGGGACCAATTTGATAACAACAAAAATCTAAAAGGAAGGTTGGGTAGAGAAAAACCGTCATTAAAGTAGCTTAAGCAAGGTGTTCTATATCATTGTAATAAGCCGTATTTCTGAAACTAGTGTTAACGATTTAGTTGTTCTCTCATAATGTGCTAGCATTTTGAATTGAATTGTCGGTTTTATATCTTCTGTCTCGATGAAGGTTATTGTTTACCTCGTAAATGCATAATATATTTATCGATATCTATGTGTTTAACTTATTGTTTTAACGGAACAGGCAATGTAATTAAATTCAAATCCGGTGTTATGACCCGTATTGATTCCAATATGCCACTGAGAATGCTCATTACCAACACAAAAGTCGGGAGGGATACAAAGGCATTGGTTGCTAATGTTTCGGCAAGGAAATCGAGGCATCCCGATGCCATGTCTTCCATGTTAAACGCCATCGAAGCTATCAGTGATGAATGGTCTACCATCATCCAGTCGCATGCTGCGGATGATCTATGTTTATCCGCTAATGAAGCGAAGCTTGCAGAATTGATGGAAATGAATCAGGGTTTGCTTTTCTCTATTGGTGTTAGCCATGCATCTATAGAAACTATTCTTCAGACAACAATGGAGTATAAGCTAGCTTCCAAGCTGACCGGAGCCGGAGGCGGAGGTTGCGTGCTAACACTCTTACCGACCCGTATCCTCTTTCGTGTTCGCTTTTATTTGAATGCTTATTCCTCTGCCAATTATTTTTTTTTCGTCGTTTTGATATTCAGTCGACTCTACTTCCGATGAAAAGGCCTAGATGGGTTCGATAAGATTGAATCTGTTTGCAATACAATGGTTTCTCTTGCATCTTTCTGCCAATAGGGGCAGAGGCTCGTCGGAATAAGATAGACTTCGATAAGATACTGCTTTTCGACTTTGATTCGTATAAATCACGATTTGCTCATGTTTTTGTTTACAGTGTGATCTATTCTTTGCTGCCTTATTAGTACCTTCTTCAATCTCCAATTCCATCACTTGTTCCCTTGATAACATGAATCAGATGTCTCCGGAGCAGTTATTGATAAACTAGTGGAAGAGCTCGAATCGTTCGGTTTTCAGTGTTTCACGGCCGGGATCGGTGGTAACGGTGTCCAAATTTCCTTTGGTCATTCTTCCTGATTTACATTCGCATGTTCTAGTCGTAACAAGATTCTCTCCGAATAAACAACACGAAGAGATGATATCGATGTTATAGCTATTTCCATTCACTCCTGTTTTCTGTATACTCGATTTTCGGGTTAGCCGAAACAGCAAAACATACAGGAGACAACCTATGTTGTAGCTGTTTTTCTTCACCTCTGTACATTAGTTTGTTGTAGTTTCTTCCTGAATTTGCACCAGTTTGTTGTCTTTGCCGTTTTAACCATCTTTTCATCAATGCTTTCGGGTTTGAATCAAATAGTAGTAGTCTTTATACTATGCTTAACTGGTAGATTTAAGGTAAAAAGATAACTTTGCCCTGTAGTATATTAAATTTATTATTTTCGTATCTATCGTATTTTTGTATCAATTTAGTCCTTAAAGTTGTTCGATTGCATAATTTTGTATCATAATCTTAAATTATAAACCCTAAATTATATATCTTAAATTTAAACTTTAAGGTTTATAATTTAGGGGGTACGATATAGAATGATACAATTAAACAACTTTGAAGGTCAAATTGATGCAAAAATACAATAAAGACGAAAATGATAATTTTGGTTTATTATAGGGACAAAAAAAAACCTGCCAAGATTTAATTATTTTTTAATTTAATTAAAATTTAATTTATGTAATTGAATTATTGATATAATATCAAAATCATCCTGTATTTAAATGATCATTAACTCTTTGTGAGAATTTCAAATGACGTTTAGTTTTATTTTATTTTAGTATCTCACCGTTAAAAATTTGATGTATTTAATACCTAAACTATTAATTTTGGTCCGGTTTAGTAGTTAAGTTTCATTTTTTTTCAAAATTTAACGTTAAGTTTAACCGTGATACTAAAATAAAACAAAAATTAAAGTTTTTAAAGACGGGTACTAAAATAAAACAAAAATTAAACTTTAGATATAATTTTAAAAACTGATAGTTTAAATTTTAAAAACTGATAGTTTAGATTCTAAATATATGATTTACCTTAGATTTTTAATGTTATCGATACTGATGTGATTATTGAGTATCATAACATTTTTTTATATTTTAATATTGATATCATTCAACGAATTCAAAAAATTTAATTTAAAACAAATTTATCTATATATTTTAATAGCTTATAGATTGATATAAAATATTTTAAAATTTAAGATCAATTTTAAATAAATTCATAATTTGGGGATTAATATTAAATGTTTTAAAAAATAAAAAATAATTTTAAATAAGAGTTAGTATAATTTAAGACAGTGTAGAATTAACTCTAATAAACATCTTATATGCAAATTTATCTATATATATTAACAACAAAAAGGCATAAGAGGTGTTTGTACTTTTGAAAAAAAATTAATATAGCCCTCATATTAATTTTTCTCTTAATGTGATCATCAAACTTAGAAAGTAAATCCAACGTGATCCTCTAACTCAAAAAACAAACGCAATAATGTCAATGTTTTTTCGTCGTTGATCATTTTGATGTTAGTGTGATAGTTACAATGTTAACATGATAGTTCACGGTGTCGATGTAATTGTCCATATGCCATGTTTGAGTTATATTAATTTAATCTATTTGTCATGTCATCTGTCACGTTATCAACCATTATGAACTGCCACATCAACACTGTAACAGTCAACAATGAAAAATGTTAGTCAAATGATCATATTAGATTTATTTTCTAAATTGAAGGGTCATATTGAGAAAAAAAAATATGAGGGTCAAATTGGGTTTTCTAAATTTCGGGTATCTCTTATGCCTTTTTGCCTATATTAATTTAAGAGAAAAAAGCGTCAGTGACCGAAAATATCTTATAATATACGATTTTAATCAATTTTTTTTTTGATTTGCCTTTTTGCCTTTTTGATTTTAATCAAAAAAAAGTTGATTAAAATCGTATATTATAAGATATTTTCGGTCACTGTCGCTTTTTTCTCTTAATTTAAACGGCCACTGTACACTTCAAGCAAATAAATGCATTCATTTCTTTAGTAGAGCCTCAGTCCTCCACCTCCACCGCCACGGCCGCCTCTCCCTAGGGTTTTTCGGCGGGCTCTCTTCGCTACCATAACAATAAACATCCACCTTCCGTTCATCTCAATATTCAGGTTACTTACCTTCCTGCCACTCCCTTACCCCTTACTTCCATAGTTCCATTCATTGTTTCTCAAAACAACAGTTTCGCCCTCAACGTCACTTTTTATTTACGTTTTTGACACTGTAGCTTAGCTATTTTTATTTTATGTTCTTCACTTTTTTTTATTTGTTTTTAGCTTTAGATTTTTGAACGGCTAAATCATCGAATCCAGAAGGGAAGACCGTGTCCGAATCGTGGTGGCCGGAGACCGAGGCACTGGAAAGTCGAGCTTGATTGTGACGGCCGTTGCTGAGACTTTCCCGACGAATGTGCCACGGCTGTTGCCGCCTACTCGGTTGCCGGAAGATTTCTACCCCGACCGTGTTCCTATAACCATCAGATACACCTCCGCGACGTATTTTTCTACTAATTATCCTCTATATAACGTTCCTTTTCCTTTATAAATATTTGACTCTATTCGGAGCAGTAATTTTAACCCAATTGAAGAATTGTAAATTTTGTGTAATAGCTTTTTAGCTTCAACCTAGCTCATACTTGGTTTAGCGTGATAAAGAAGCAGAATGTGATAAGATATTTCATGTTTGCTTTGATTATTGTCATGCTTTGGCTTAAGTTTTGATTTTTTTCCTTTTCGGATTTGTTAGCCCAGAGGATAAAGGTAAACTAGCAGAAGAGCTGAAACGAGCCGATGCGATTGTGCTTACTTATGCATGTGATCAGCCTGAAACCCTTAACAGATTGAGTACTTTCTGGTTTCCGGAACTTCCGCAATTAGAGGTTTCTATCCTAAATTGCTTTTGTACTTGTGTATTTGTGCTAGTTTATTATTTTCATTGAAAAAACGTTAAGGTGAAGTTAAGTTGTTAAAATCCTTTTAACATTATTCTTCCAGCTAGTATTCTACTTCATGTGACTGTTTCGGACCGAACTCTACTAGGTTGGTGGGAACGAGGAAAATGTCGTTGTGTATATGGGGAAAAACTCACAAAATATCATGTTTTTACATATTATTATTTGTAGTATTTGAACCTGTTTCAAAGGATTTAAATATGTTTTCCAGCGCTAATTGACTAAATTGGGATTTCACTAGTTTACCTTGTTGATCACAGACTAATTTTTTCTTTCATGAATCTACCTTTCCTAAAACTGAAGAAAATTTTTGTTTTCTTGTTGTGCAGGTGAAAGTGCCTGTCATAGTAGTCGGCTGAAAGTTGGATTTAAGAGATGACTACCAGAAAGTGAGTTTTTTCAAGTGATTTCACCGATAATGCAACAGTTTCGGGAGATTGAAACTTGTATTGAGTGTTCAGCTTTTAAACACATTCAGGTATAGATCCAGGCCCTTGTTTCTTTTCGAGGTTAATTTGAAATTATGGTGCTATATCCTGCTGATATCACACTTCATGTAATCTCATAAGAATTAACTCATTGTTCACTACGCTAACTCCAGGGAACTTTAATGCATATTGGCTTATGAAAACTTTGACTTGCTCTTGTTTTGGCTCTTTTTAGTTCAAACATTAATCCGTTATGGGAAAAATGAATAGAAACTCTATTAACATTCGTGGTTGCTTATGAAAATGTTGTAATGAAGTTTTTATTGCATTTGGGTAGATTGGCTATTGGGGTTTTGGCTATATGATGGATCAGCCCGTGCTTGTATTTCATGATTTATATTGTGCACTGCAGTGGGCCCTTATGACACTCCTAGACCCAGCTTATAGTTTGGAGAACTTGATATACATTGGGTATCCCAGTGATCCTTCATCTGCAGCCCGTGTGACTAGGAGAAGGCACCTAGACCGAAAGAAGCAACAATCAGAAAGAAATGTTTTCCAGTGCTTTGTTTTCAGGCCAGCTAATGCTGGGAAATCTGCGTTGATGAATTCTTTCCTTGGCAGGTATTCATTAGAATTTGTTTTCCTAATAAACTAGTTCTCTTTTCCTCAAATTGACAAACTTATTAACCGTAATGTAGGCCATATTCTGATTCATATTCTCCAACCACTGCATATTTTGTGTTTGTATGTTGAAACCATGAACCATGTCGGAGGGGATTGGGGGTTGCTGAAGTAGCTTGAACTTTAGTATATCTGCATTTCTTGTTCTTCTAGAGTCTATACTATAAACCGGGTACACTAAAATGATGTTGCACAAGGTTAAGATGCAATAAAACAAGTTCTTCGAGATGAAAACCCATCAAAATCCACATTCTCCTTGCACTATCAAAGAAAGTTGTTCGGGAAGTTCTGCTCATAAAAGTTTATAGTTTCCTTAGCGGATCCTTCTGAGCATGAACCTTGGTTGACTTCATTGTAGCTTTGAGTTTCAGTGCTTGGGCTGAGTGTATTTCTCATTTCATTTGTAGGGAATAAAGAAAATCTACTCTTGCGAGAAATCCCTGAAGATGGAGTTGCAAAATTGCCGTCTACCAAAGTGTCTTTGGCTGCCTGTGACATAGCGGTATTTGTTCATGACAGGTGAAACACGGGAGTATACCCGTATCTGAAAATAAATTCAAAAACAGATTCGTGCGGGAGTATACCCGTATCTGGCACCCACACCTGCATCTAGTAACATAGGTCAGGGGCAAGTACTATTCTGCCTTTCTTTTCTGAACAAAATAACATTAAAGTGCACGATGCACTTAAATCATCGATGTAGTTCGACACTTCGGCTTACTGTTCCTTGGCTGTGCTTTTGTTGGAAGATTAATGTGAGCCGGAAATTAGGGAAAGGGTACTCCTTGTACTGCTTCAAAGTTGCTTTGATTTTAATGGCACTGCTCATTTTTTACCTTGTCTCTAAATATTTTATATCGATGGCCACGCTCACAACGTCGGGTTGTTGATCATTTTCAATTCTGTGATTCACCTTTTGCAGTTGGAGCTGCCGTAGCCGTCGTTGGGTTTGCAGCTTGCCGTGTATATGCTGCGAGGAAAAGCGCATCCGATTGAGGGATGAAGACTCTCCCATCTCTGACAATAGACTCGGTAATGTCATCTTCGTAGAAACATCCATGCCTGACTTCTATTAAGCTTCTGTGCCGTAATTTCCGGCCATACCGGAAGTCTATACGCGTAGGAAGACGAATGAACTGTAAAATCTACCGTCATTTTAATGGCGGAAGAGTTTGACGTTTAGAAATATTAAGAGGAAAAAAGATAGATAAATGGTTGAACTTGGTTATTGTGCAATGAAAAATTTTGCGTTAACATATTTTGCCAATTTTTTTTTGGGGTAAACTATATTTTTAGTACTTAAACTATCAATTTTAGTTTGTTTTGATATTTATACTTTCAATTTTTTCAAAATCATATTTAAAAGTTTAATTTTTATTTCATTTTAGTACATTGTCACTAAAACATTAATGACACTATATTTTTATAGGTAAATTACATCATTCAATTATCTTCTCACTTTGGTGCTAAAGTTTTAAATTTTCAATTTAACTATTCAATTTTTTAAATTGCTCTTATTTTGATCACTTTAATTCATTTTATTATTATTCTTGGGACATAATTTTTTTATTATTTAATTAATATCTTTATGAAATGTTTTATTATTATTTTATTAATATATAATTTAAAACAAAAAAAAATAAATTTGAAAATTAGAGTGATCAAATTGAAAGTAATTTGAAAGTTGAGTAATTAAATTAAAAATGTTAAATTTTAGTGATCAAAATAGGAGTGAGAAGATAGATGAGCGTTGAATGATGCAATTTACCTATAAAAAAGGTGTAATGTATAAATCATCCGTTAAGTTTTTAATGACGAGGCAATAAAATAAAATAAAAATTAAATATTTGATATAATTTTAAAAAGTTGAAAGTTTGGATATTAAAATAGATCAAAATTAATAGTTGAAGAGCTACATGTATAATTTACCCCTTTTCTTTCCTTCTCTTTGCTTTGCTAAAGCAAGGTATTTATAATACTACTACCTTTCATTTCTCTTGAAGTACATTCGACACATTTTCGGACATAGATAAAGATATGTTTACTCAATTAAATGGATGTTAACTCTTTAGTTATGATTGTAACCATTAATAAATTGAATGACTGGATTGTTATAATCGATAAATTGAGTGATCCAATTGTAATTTATAAAGTAATTTGCTTTTAATTATCGATTAATCTAGTTATATTTATGTAATTTTTTAAAGTTAAATGATTCATATATAATTTTGTTGATTGATACGCGGGATATTATTTTGTAGGATAAATTATACGTTTAGTACCTAAACAATTAGTTTGGTTTGCTTTAGTACTTAAACTTTTAATTTTTTAAAAAATCATATCTAATGTTTAATTCTTGTTTTATTTTAGTATCCCGTCATTAAAAACTTAATGGATGGGCGCTTGTCGGTCGTCACGCCTATAATCATCGGTCGGTTGCATCCGTCAGTCAAGGAAGCCCAAACTTTACAGTCCTCACCTTTTTGACTCCCTAAACATAGGGGGTGTTCAAACGGTTAATTCGGCCACCAACCGAATCGAATTTTCATTAATCAAATTAACCAAACTTTTTTTTTTCTTTAACCGTTAACCAAACCGAACTTTTTTTTAAATATTAACTGAACCAAACAAAGTTAAGTTATTTCGGTCGGTTAATCGAATTAACCGATTTTTTTTTAATAATTTATTTAATTAGATTATTTTGAATATAATAACAATATTTTTTATTTGGGTTAACATTTTAATTAGATATTAATAATTTAATGAGTTTAGTGTGGTTAAAAATAATTGAGTTTTAATTCTTAATGAGTTTGAGCTTAAAATATGTATTTAATATATATAATATATTTCATATTTAATAATTTCAGTTAATTCGGTTAATTAATTGATTTCGAACCGAATTAACCTGTTAACCGAATATTGAAAAAAATGTTAATCGTTCCCCGACCGAACTAATTCAGTGGCCGACCGAATTAATCGAACTAATTCGATTCGGTCGGTTAATTCGGTTAAAACCGAAAAATGAACACCCCTACCTAAACATGTTCCAGCCACTGTTTTACTAAAAATGGATCAATCTCTTCAAACCGACGATGAAATTTGACTTCTTCATCATCCGATCTCTGTTGTCAATCATCTGATGGGCCTGAAATCAGACTATATTGGTCAACTTATCATTCTCTCGTGATCCACCATTTGGATTGGTCGTTTGTCAACCGGAGCTATGTTTCGTCAGCTCGTTCGTTAAGTTTTTAATGACGGGTACTAAAATAAAACAAAAACTAAACAAATATGATTTAAAAAAAATAAAAGTTTAGGTATTAAATGTGTGATTTACCCTATTTTCTAATAGTTTCAAATGATTACAAAAAGTAATATTGATTCATAATCTTCTTAACTATTGATGATCTACATAGTATGCAAACGTAGCTACTCAAACCTAATACCTCAAAAAAATATTATTATTTTTTAACCACTGAAATCGCTTAATGAGATTCACGATCTAATATTATTGGCAATTCTTTTAAATATCATTAGCATTTTAGACATACTGTGAAAAATGATAATTTAAGTACTACTTTTTTTAAAAATAGTTTAAGTAATAAGAATCAAGCGATCTCAGTGATTAAAGAAATGATTAGTTTTTTTCTAAAGGTATCAGATTCGAGCACCAGTGATTATAAGATACTTGAATGTTCATTGTTAAACAATTGAGAGTTTTTAGAACATATACTATCACTTGTGAGCACCTAGAGTAATAAGAAAATACCATAAGTACTTAAATGGAAATCAAGTACAGATTAAGGGCTGGTTTGTAAAAAAACACTTTAAATTAATGGTTAAAAAACCCAGATCCAACCTTGTATATACTATAGACCAAATGCATACGCTCCTTAATTTAAATGAAAGTAGCCGTTATATATAAAAGCTAAGCCAATCCAACGGCTGGCGTTTCTGCATTTTGAATCCAAACGAAAACCCTAACCCCAAATTTCAAAATTTAAACTCAACGCTTCAGTTTAGCGCTCTCTCTCTCTCTCTTGTCAATTTCTTTCATTTCTCGAAATTTTTCACTCTTAGCATTGCTCAATCTCCCAATTTCTCTTCTCAAATCGTTTAATTTTCCATTCAGTTATTCCTTTCTAACAATCGAGTTCTTGTTTTTCTGTAATCAAATGGCTGAAATGGGTTCGGAGAGTTGCGATCTGATCGGTCTTGATAAAGGTTAGCGCTTCGATTTTCTTTCTTTCCGTGCTTCAATTTTATATTTACGATTCTGATCTGTGAAAAACCGTGATGTTTTTTGTAGATCCAACGGTGGAGAATGGAACAGTGTCTTCTTCGAACTCTCACACTGGTTAGTTCCTTTTCATTTTCTTTTTTTGCATTCATTCTTTACTTTGAAGAAAGCATTTAGGTGAATTTTAATGACATGTTCTCTAAATCTGAAAGGAAAGTTAGAAATTAGGGATGATTTGTTTGAAGCCCTAGAAAATTCTTGCTTGGAGGATACTTGAAAAGTGATTGATGGTTCTTGTGATTTTTCTTGTTTAGTTCAGAACTTAGAATATTGTGGAATGAACTGAGTTGATTTTAAGCATTTTCTTTTATTAATTAGACACTATTGATTGCAGTTCATGATTCCTTTGTATTGGCTAGAAAATTTGTTGTAATATTCTTTTTATGTTGGTGCATTGAAAATGTCCAACTGAGCATATTTGGGAAAAATTGTGTTATTCAAAGTATTTGAGTAATTAGACACTAATTTGAAGAACATTGGCTGTTTCTTTAGAACTTTTAGAAGAGAATACCGACTCCATGGGTGAAGATTCTATGGCCAGCATGAACCAAGAAATATCTCCATCTCAGGGGCCAACTCTTCCGATATTACATAAAGTTATTAATTTGAGTAACAGTCTCAAGGTAAAATAGAGTAGGCTATTGCTTTTCGTAAGCTTGATGTATATATTTTCCTTGTTTATGTTCTCATTAATGGTTCAAGGGGTTGACTTTCATTAACTTCGTGTCACAGAATTTGAAGACAGAGCATGAAGTTCTGTCCAATCAAGTGAAGTCTTTTCCTGCTCATGACATTGTAGGAGCTCTTCAGTTACTCAGTAAGTAGTGGATTGAAGAAACGAAAGTATTGGGTCTCTGTTCTTTTTATTATTTGAATTGATTTTCTATTTCTTGTTTGGTATAGATAATGAATATGAGCTTCTGAAGAAGAAATACCTAGATGAGTCATCAGAGAGGAAGCGCCTTTACAATGAAGTGATTGAGCTTAAAGGAAACATCAGAGTTTTCTGCAGATGCAGACCTCTAAATCAAGTTGAAATCTCGAATGGGTCCTCTTCTGCAGTTGAATTTGACTCGTCTCAGGATGCTGAGCTACAAACAATTTCTTCTGATTCTTCCAAGAAACAATTCAAGTTTGATCGTGTGTTTAGGCCTGAGGATGGTCAAGGTACCCCTAAGATCTCTTGATTGAGCTTACATGACCTGAGATATCTTCACCAAGTTTTATTGTATAAGTTTTTAAATCTGTGTTTTTCTTTTTAAATTATATAGATGTTGTATTTGCACGAACCAAACCCATTGTCACTTCTGTATTGGATGGTTTCAATGTTTGCATATTTGCGTATGGACAAACTGGAACCGGGAAGACATTTACTATGGAGGGAACACCAGAAAATAGAGGAGTTAATTACAGGACATTGGAGGAGTTGTTTCGAGTTGCTGGAGATAGAGGAGGTGTAATGAAATATGAACTATTTGTCAGCATGATGGAGGTCTACAATGAAAAGATAAGGGACCTGCTAGGAGAAAACTCCAACCAGCCTACTAAAAGGTTTATTCCAAACGCTAATTTGTATACGGTTGACCAATTATTAAAGTCTGATTGTAATACAGATTCTTATTTGCAATCTAGTAACTTTTATATCCATAGAGAAAGAAATCCATTGGCATAAACTTTAATAACTATTCTTAGGGACAATATGTCGAGATGATAAAATAAAGCTCAGAATTACCAACCAGTCTCTGCTTAATGACTTCCATAAAGAAGATTATAGAAACCCCATATTTGGAGAGTTAATTCCATTTTTGAAGTCCTACATTTTGTTTATATAGGTTGGATATCAAGCAAGCAACAGATGGGACACAAGATGTTCCAGGAGTTGTCGAAGCTAGTGTTTACAGTACAGAGGAAGTTTGGGAGCTACTAAAGTCTGGAAACCGGGTCAGATCAGTTGGAGCTACCAATGCCAATGAAATGAGCAGTCGTTCTCACTGGTAATATCTTGCTTTCTTTTTGTTTTGTTTGTGAATTATGTTTAAAAGGCCAGACTTTTTGCGATCTAATACATGAGAAAACATTTGTTATTAGGCTGACAAAATTTTGGTGCATTTAACTATAATGACCAGATTTGCCCTCTTTGCAGCTTGTTGCGTGTCACTGTAAGGGGAACAAATTTGATAAATGGCCAAAAGACTAGGAGTCACCTATGGCTGGTAGATTTAGCTGGCAGTGAGCGCGTTGGAAAGATTGAAGTTGAAGGTGAAAGACTGAAGGAATCCCAATTCATAAATAAGTCTCTCTCGGCACTTGGTGATGTAATTTCCGCCCTTGCGTCCAAAACTTCCCATATTCCTTACAGGTTTCTCCCTCTCTTACCACCCTTGTTTTCGTACAAGAATAATACATGCTCACAACTGATTGAAAAAACATTAACACCTTTATTCTTTCTCCTTTTCTGTGGAAAACCAGGAACTCAAAGCTCACACATATGTTACAGAGCTCTCTAGGTAAGCTTTTGTCTCATCGTAGTATCGATGGAAGTTGATCCTCTTTTTCTGAGCCTAGTTAAGCTGGAAAGATTGCCCATGAAGGATCTGTATTCATGTTTGGCAGCCTAATGGAAAATCATGAAATGCAGGAGGAGATTGCAAGACTGTGATGTTTGTACAGATCAGCCCATCGAGTTCAGATCTCGGGGAGACCCTTTGTTCATTGAATTTTGCTAGCCGAGTTAGGGGGGTCGAAAGTGGTCCTGCCCACAAACAGGTGGACCTTACTGAGCTCTACAAATATAAGCAAGTGGTATGACAAATTGATGAAATTTGAAAATATTTCCCCCTCTTAATATTTGAGGTGGATTCAATTAGTTTGACTTCTGGTTATCGATTAATTAACAGGCGGAAAAGTTGAAACATGGTGACAAGGAAACAAAGAAGTTGCATGATATTGTGCAATCCTTGCAGCTGAGACTTTCTGCAAGAGAACATATATGCAAAAGTCTCCAAGAAAAGGTAATCATATATTAAACAAACCGAATCGGTTATCTCCGAGATGTAGAACCGCCTTTTTCAGAACGTAAAACGTTTATTAGCAATCTAGATTCGGATGTTTTGTTCTTCCTGGTGTTTTGTATCATTTTTCATTGCTTGGTATTTGATGTCAGGTTCGTGACCTGGAAAATCAGCTAGCTGAGGAACGGAAAACTCGATTAAAGCAGGAAACCAGAGTATTTTCTGCTTCTGCTTCTACCAGACCACTTCCTAAACAAGCAGCGAAGAACACCAAAACGGATAAAAAGCCGCCACTCGGTCCATCAAAAGTGAGGTTACCACTACGAAGAATCACCAACTTCATACTCCCAGCAACACCTTTGGCCACCTCCAACAGAAAGACATCCAGAATATCGATGACAGCGTCATCATATCACAAAGAAAACAACTCCGAAACCGTGATGGCACCAACAACAAACAGAGAAAACCTTTTGAAACCGAGACGTTCTTCCATTGCTGTCAAACCTCCAACAGCCAATGCTCAAGTCCTTCAGCCTAAACGACGAGTATCCATCGCTACCATCCGTCCCGATTCGCACATGACCACACCACTCCGTGGGTCCGCGTCCGGTTTCAACGGTACAATGGACAGACCGTCGTTAGCACGGGATGTCAGGAAGGCAAGATATTCTAGATTTTTCTCCCCATTGCCAGAGACATCACCTGCAGCCATGAGAAGTGGAAGTAGCAAATTCATGGGGAGCCCTCCCGCCATGCAGGGAGGTCCATGGAAGCCGAGACATCCGACCGTCGTTGCTTTGCAACGGAAATCGTTGGTATGGAGTCCACTCAAGTTAAAAGGTATGCAAAGTAGTTACCGGAAGTCGTCGTTTTTGCCTTTACGACCTTCATCCGAGAGGGAATGAAGATTCTCTAATTGATTCTCTTTTGCATCTTCCTATTAACAGAACCAAAAGTGAACATGCAGTGCTTTCTGTGCACACTTTGTTCCATTCTATCTTGTGTGATTTCTAGGCTAGTTACATCCTCCAACAAGTGTACACATTCTTGTACTTTTTAATATATCATGGCCTCAGTCTTAAAAAAACAACAAATATGTATTATCGATGATTAAAAAAATTGAACGAACTATTCAAAAAATATATATTTATGTGAGATCGTTGATGCCATCACACATATACTTATGTTCAATTTGATACATGACATGGATGAGCATGGGACAGAGTAAATTGATTTTTTGGTTATCCTAGTTGATCTTCGATGTTAGAGATGGGCATGGGTCAAATTTTTTGTCAACCCAATCCGACTTGAAAAACATACCCTTTACCCAAAATTTAATTTGACTTGAGTTTAGAGATTATTTAACTCAACTCAAACTCGACCTGATTTTTCAAGATAAAATTTAAACACGTTTCTATCCAAAATAAATATATTTTTAGAAAAATATTATTATCAAGTTAAAAAATAATAATATATAGAATTATTATTATAATTATCTTTAAATATATAAGATAAATTTTTATTATTATTTAGTTAGGTTAGATATTTTCACTCAAAATTCAAACCCAACATGACCCAAACATATTTTTTTTAAAATACCCACCCGGACTCAACTCAAATTTTTTTTTATAAAAAATCTGACTCGATCGAATCAAAACTTATCGAATTCGGATCCCGTAACCGTCCCGGTCCCATGATTATGATGTTCTACCACCTCCGAATTCATTCTAAACTTTGGAAATAAAAATCCACTTCAATTTTTTTTTTAAATTTTATTTGATAAGATAAAAAAAGATAAATGTCCAAATTATACCCGAAGTACGTAAGAAATTTTAGGCGAATCGTTAAGTGACTCGTAAGAACATCAACAAGTAAACTGATTCAACATTTAAACACTAATTCTATTCATTTTATAAACCATAGATGTGTAGTTTTTCCACTTACACAGTTTCTTCACCAAGTTAACGGAGATTTACAGCGTCAAAGTGTAACACCCCTTTCTCATATATCTCTGAGCTATTAGTTAGCCGAAGTAAACATTCGAGGGAGAATCGGGTCTCTCTCCTCCGATCGTCACTTCTTCGTTATCGGGACCTCGGATAGTAATTCTTCCTAAACCACAATCTATTACAGCATGACTCGATGACAACCAATCCATCCCGAGTATCAGATCGAGTAGTGAGAATGTACCAACAATAAGACGTGGCCCGCCCTAGTAGCACCCGCTGGTGATCGGTACTCGGGTCTTACCCGAGTCTCCGTCACAGCCTTCTGGCTGTTCCCCGCATCACTATTTCTACCGAATCTCCTGCCTTTTTGAGCTGTCGGGGTAGATCTCTCTGTCTCAGCAGTAGTCGACATCTCGGGACAATCTGTAATGAAATGATCTTTGGAGCAACATCTGTAACATGATCCTGTGAGACGCCAACACTCTCCAAAGTGTCTCTAACCTCAATGCTCACAGACCGAAAGAGATGGTCTCCTCGACGATCCTCTTGCATCGGTCACCGATGCTGCCTGCCGCCCAAGTCTAGATGTCGAACCCGAATTCTGCCTTTGTTCACGTCTCCTGACTGTGAGTTGGTGTAGAATATATTGGACCCTGAGAGTCCCTAGCTCTTTTAGCAGCTGGGAATAGTATAAAACCAGCTTGTCCTCGACCTCTTTTCATCTGGGTTTTATATTTACTCTTCCGCTTATCATTAATAACATCTTCCACTGCAATAGCTCTATCAACAAGAGTAGAGAATTCCCGAGTAAAAATAGATTTACACAGTAACATATTTCGAGTAACATAGCGCGCGCGCACACACACACGAGGCATGATTCAATTATATAATGTAATTCATTTAGTTTCATACAGACTTAAAACCGTTAGATGAATAAAAATAGACGGTTTAGATTAACAGTAGGATATGTGAAGATAATCACTTGGAAAAAAAAAGACAAGGAGTCAATCTCGACCTTCCATTTTCCTCATCCAATGGTTTTATATTTGTGTAAAACTAAAAGAGTTTTACATTGTGTAAGTTGATCTTAACTCTTTTAATTTTACATTTTGTACACTACCCTTAAACCTAAAACTATAAATTATAAACCTTAAGTTAAAATTTATTGTTTAGATGTTATAGGGATATGGTTTAGGATTTAGTGTTTATAATCTAGGGTTTTAAGTTAGAGGTATGATATAAAATGATGCAATTAAACAACTTCAAGGGCTAAATTGATTCGAAAATATAACAGTGGTGAAAGTGATAAATTGAGTCTACTACAGGGGCAAAAGTTAACCTTTTACCTACTAATAATTGACTCATTAAAATGTTTATAATCAATTCAAGTCGTAAATTAATTTTACGTCAATAGCTTAAGATATCTAAAAATTATAAAGAAAATATCTAAAAATTATGATAATTTGATGCTCTGTACAATATGAAATAATCACCGATCAATAACATATCTTAGTACAGGTAAACAAAAACCAACAGAATTCATCTTGGAAGTAAACTTTCTGGAAACAAATTGGAACTTGCCGGGTTGGAATCACTGTTTGTAAATTGCTCGAGTGTTGTTCCAGAGCCATTGTCGAGCCGGACCTTCCAACAATGGCGAAACCTGAAACAAACCGTAAGCCAGTTATCGTCTCTTGGAACTCGAAACAGAATGGCGTAACAGCCGACCGAGGAAGTCTTGCCGAAACTGAACTTGTAATGCAGATAGTTGAATGAAATGAGTGGAATCAAAATGAATATGTGAAATTGAAATTCCAACCTTTTCCCAGACGTGTGAATGGTAATTGTTGAGCCATTCGATCTCGTCGTTCGACACCAATGACAAGTCGACCAACTTAGTCTGCAATGGCAGGAACAAAAATTGTTAGAGAAAGTCTCTAAACTTATATGTGTTTTGGTACATTCAAAGGAAACAAGGAGAATTTTTCAGGTGCTAGAATTTTAACTGAAGTTTGTTTTGCAAGGTAAGGGTGAGTAAAATTTGATTCGACTTGATTAGATGCTATAAAATTTGACTTGAATTTTTTTAAATAAAGTTTGAATTACAAAATAGAACTTGAATAGCTTGAAAATTTTAATAATTAGTGTATTGGTTTTCAAGTTCAAGTCGAATCACTCAATTCTGCATGATATATATCAAATATGAAAAAAATTGAAGATATATATATATATATATATGTATATCATCATATATAGTTATTAAAAGTTATTTAAATAGAATAAATTAGTATCATAATATTATAAACATTTACAATTAAATTTAAACAGCTCAACTCGAAAATTTTCAAATAAAGTTTTAGGTTATAAAAAAAGACTTGTTAACTCAACTAACTCAAATTTTTTGACTCGACCGTATCAAATACTCACCCCTAATGTCAGGGGTGATAAAGATCACACTGGTTTGGTTTCGGGAGGAGGGGGGATCGTAATTTTTAGTCTTTAAAAGCAAAATCTTAGTCAAATCAAATTCCACAATTATTCGAATCAATCAATATGTTTAGATATGCATTGCATGGCCATGAATACTTAAAGAAAAATGAAGAGTTAGAAGCTTGAAGCAACACAAGGGGATATTGAGACAGACTGAATAATGGTACAAGGAAACCAGAAGCATACCTGAATGGGGAAAAATGTTAGTTTTTCGAATCCGAGATATTCAATTCCCCCATAACGATTTGGTGTATTAATCTCTTGCACACAAAGGAGATTCTGCAAGATGATAAGATCCCAAGTTGGTAATAAAAACTCTATTCGTTTGGAAATTAATCAACTAGAAATCTTGTAGCTCAATGTAAAGTTTAACAACAAAGAAATATAACCGGATTACTTTGTACCTCGATCCGAATGCCGAAGGCATGATCTTCATAATAACCAGGTTCATTGCTAACAATCATGCCTTTAAGTAGGGGAGTGGTATTTCCATATCTATAGCTAATACTTTGTGGACCTTCATGGACATTCAATGCAGCTCCAACGCCGTGCCCCGTGCCTGTATAAAAGGAGCAAGATAATCAAAGTCATAATCAATTAATCGGCCACGGTTTTAACTTTTAATAGTGCAAGAAGTCTAACAGTAGGACGAGAAATACCATGGCGGTAATCAAGTCCGATCTTCCAGAGGGAAGAGCGAGCAAATGCATCCAACACAAAACCTGGAGTGTTTTCGGGGAATACTGCCTGGTCAAGTGCAATGTGACCCTGCAATTTGAGGGAGTATTAGGAAACACCCAAAAAATCTAACCGTAGCTAGGTAATCTTTAGCAATGGAACAGTGGTGAAAATCATATCATGCAAGGTAAAGTTAAGACTGCAAAATGGATCAAATATCATGGCCCATTCATTGCTAACTGGTTTTACATTTTACGAAACACACCATAGCTAGGTGATCTTTAGAAGTAGAAGAGTGTTAGATCGGGGAATATATGCTGCTATGGTCTCACAAACTACAAGAAAATCTATCCTATGTTAACTCTAGAGTGAGTACCGAACCAAGTATGTGTTCGGAAGCAGTACCTTTAAATTTTATAAGTATTTTTCATGTATTTTAGTGGGTTATCTCCATATATCGAAATATGCATTGAACACAAGTGTCGAACACTGAAACTTTATGAAAAATGGAGTGTTAAAGCAACATAGAAATTAGCAATATTCTCTAGTATGTCGAAATATGCTACCAACAACATCGATTAAATATAAAAGCCTCACCTTTAGAACTCGGGTGAAGCATTCTTTTTCCCTGGCAGTTGGTTCACCAAAATGTACCGTCCTCGTTATGTCAGTTGTTCCATCTATATATTGAGCTCCACTATCCAATAGGAACAATTTATTTGGATCCACAACACTGCAATTTTCTGGTTCAGGTCTGTAGTGTATAACAGCACCATTTGCACCTGAGCCTGCAGTATCGTTCCAAATGTTAATAATAAACTATAAATAAATAATCAGATTTGATTATTGGTTGCAAAGTTTATTAGTTTACGTTGTCCTCTCCGAAACAAAAAAGAAGTGTGGGAAATTTACTTTTCGAGGTATTCAAGAAATGAAAATGGCTTTAGATTTTAACGTCTAGAGCTGGAAAATCAAGATTGATATACCACTTATTGTATCAAAGCTAGTGTCTAGGAAGCTGTCTTCCTTCGAACGGAATTCAAGAAGTTTGTCCGCAACATCCACCTCTGTAAGTTTCACATTCTTATGAATTTCCTCTTCCAGCCAGCACCAAAACCGTGCCAGAGCTGCTGCATCCCTGCATGTATATCACGATAAAATAATTCTTAAAATGATCTTTACCAACATATATCTTTTTCTTGCAGACAAAAGCTTTTAGCTAGGGTGAAGTAGAAAGCTTTAACAGAGACAGGCTATGGCATGCATTTCAGAAGACAACGGTAGGTGTTCTCTTTGCTTGCAAAAGGAAAAGGAAGATGAATAAGATTAGGAAAACATTGATGTTTCCTAAAAGGAATAACCTCAAAATACCAGTGGTTCACGGACTTAAATCTTAACTGGTATTACCATTTCATGGAGAAAGCAATTATACCTCAAGTGGCAATTTTGCATCCCTTCTAATTCAGCAGGATTTTTCAAGGCCTTTGCCAGGGAGATTGGGGACCTCATATAAACTCCAGAAGGACCAGAAGAGAGACCATTGGATTCATCATATTGCTTATTGTTTATTTTGCCTCGACCCCGATGATTTGTACGGTATTTATCCAAAGCAGACTTGTATGTCTCCACAATAGCAGCATTGACAGATGATGTATCTAGCCACAGATGAGCACCTTGTGCTGCAAGTCTGAAAAAAGAAGCTACGATTATTTCTAAAATAAATATGCCTTGGCACATCTGGTGAAATCGACTAAGACTATCTAATTGAAAGTTTTGGCAGTCTTGGACAAAGATAAAGGTCTTTGCAGGCTGCTTTTTCATTTAATGTTAGATCAAAATAATAATAATAATAAGAGGAACGTAAAACATACCTCTTTATATCAGAAAGAATCGAGTCATACGGCCTTAATTCTACACCTGCATTCTTCAAATGATCCATCACTTCTGGGGTGAGTTTAGACTCATTTACAAATAACTTTGCCCCTTCAGCCTCCACAATTAGGTAGGCATACATAACAGGTGAATGTGGGACATCACTTCCTCTCTACAGAACAAGATTTAGGGTGTTATTTGTATGGAGGATTTAGGAAAACAGTATTTGAAATAGGTGTTTTTGAAAGTTTTTTCCCATGACTTGGGAGGTTTTCTCCCATATCCATGTCTAGGTATGCATTAGACTTGCCAGATACGAGTGTCTCAAGAAAATTGAAAAGTCAACAATATAAATTGATGATTAATTTATCTATCCATATATATGCATCTCCTAGAAAGTTGAGAGATAGAATTTTCTTCTAAACTATTACTAACCAGAAATTTAATAAATATTGACAAAGCAATCTATCATCATCTTTGTTCTACAAAAATAGCAACCCAAAACATATAAAGAATACCAAGTTCAGCAACCAGGCAACTTCATCAAGCATGGATATAACGATTGCAGATGCAACAGTGCCAGCTAGTTCAGCCCTCAGGGAAGATAACTTGCACACCACATCTAAACCAGCATATTTCATTTCATGGACTCTAATTGGCTTGTTTGGAGGTTTCGGCCTTGATTCCTTCCATATTTCATCCACGAGATTTAAATCGTACAAGTAAACCAACTCAAGTTTCTTCTTAGATATAGCTTCCTTCAATTCTTCGGCAGCATCATGCGAAAAAAGAAACTGATCCCTTATCAAACATCATCAGAAACAACCAAGCAAAAATAATGAGTATATTCATTGCAAATGTTAAGCTAGATGAAGCCATCTATATCAAACATGGGATTACTTCCATGTAAAGGATCATATCCCTACATCAAAGTCTAAATATGCCTAGGAATGGATGTTGGACATGCATACTTCTAGAATAATGAAATGTCAAAGCAACCGTTTAGGAGATTGAAAGATTACTCACAGGATCAATGCCAACTCTACCACCAGGAGCCAAAACATCATTAAGCCATTCATTAGTTGTAGGGACTCCAAGACTACCTGCGCGCATGAGAATCCAGCTCGAGCTCAACTGCTTCTCCGCCTAAACAGTCAGAATAAAGGAAAAACATTAACCAACTCGCATTTACCCATAGTGCATTATAAGAGATAGAACTCCATTAAAATGAATTTATGAAGCTTGTCAAAAATAAAAAAGGAAACCTGCAGAAAATAACGACCATCAGTCCATAGAGCTGTTTTATCCTTTGTGACAACAGCGGTCCCTGCACTGCCAGTAAAGCCTGATATATAGGCTCTCCTCTTGTAACATTCAGCAATGAACTCACTCTGGAAACCATGCCGACAAACAATTAAACTAATTGCAATAGACGTTTGACAGTAGTCTAAAATTTCAAATAAGACTAATAATCCTTAATGATGATGCTTTCAGAAATGCTAAGTAGTAAAAATGCATAATCATTTGTCAAGATATGAAATTTGGGTGTTCTATAAACCATAAAAAATTATAATTTTTTATGATTTAACCATTGCATTTTTTTTATAAGAATTGGAGGCCTCGTTAAAAAACCCCTTCATAATCATCAACATACTAAGATGTATGTCAACGAAAATTGGAAGGAGGAAAAGAGTACCTCATGATTTATTAAATAATATAACCATTGCACCTTGTATGAAAAAACACCCCAATAAGATACATACACCACATCTAAACCATAAAATCTCTAAATCCCCCTTAAACATCCAAATATTACAAGGTCAACCCTATCCGATACCCACTCACACCTATCCCAAGCCTCACATCCCTAAAAACCAAAAATATTCGAAAGCAGTACATAAATCCATTAATCTGACAAAAACACAACCGACTCCTAACGGCGAACCATCTATATCTTGGAGAAGCAACACACTCCAATCAATTAAAACTCCTTCCAAAACCGCTAACAGACTAAAACCCAATATTCGTCCGAGACAGTTAAGCCTAGATTTAACCATTGCATTTGATTAATCATTTCTAGAAGTCACATCTTTCCTTTAAGTTATTTTGTTCTTTCCTTTTTAACTTCTATCAACTAAAAGTAATTATCCTTTAAAAATTCGATTAAAGACCTACGAAACATTTAATTAGTTAGTAGCATACTAAACAATTAATCTTAAAACCAACACTTTCTTTAGTTTATTAAATGGTACCTAGGAGCACTAAAATATGCTTAAAACAAACTCAAAAATGATTGAATCCACCAAAATGCAGTCAAATTTGAGATAAACAGAGAAACACATACAAAAGTACAATAAAGTGATGTCTATTTTGAATTATAAAAAGGCCGATGATGAAATATGTGACAGTTCATAGACATTTATGACTAAGAGACCAAACAATGTCAATTTCATTTATTTAAGGTATAAATTTATCATCAAAATTATGAAATAACTGTTCAAATTAGCATTTAATCCAATCCATGAAGAAATATCTGTAATAGCAAGCTACCCAAAATCAACTCGGGAGAAAACGAACTCAGCTCAGTCAAGTGAGCTCAAGCTCATGCAACTTGACCTATAAAACGAGACGAATGTGAATATCCCAATACTCGACTAAAATAGCTCAAAAGCTTAACCGAGCTTTTCTATTTTTAATGGGTTTGAAGTCCAACATTAGAATCCAGCTCTTTTTCTTCCGGCAAGTGAACCTAATTAAGCGAGCTGGATCGTTTTCGGAACTTTAGAAATTAAACTTCATCGAGCTAAAGCTTGACTCGTTCCATTACACCAAATTTTAAGCAGCGTCCCAAGCATCGAAAAGCTTCATAAACAACGCCAATCATTTCTCTTTAAGCACTAAAAATCATATATAAACAAAGAAAAGTGGAATTAAACCTGATGAGCATCCTGAGAAGGAATGATATAAGCATCGATACCGATTCCAGGCTTGGAAAATAGCCGGCGAAGAGCGACAACCTTCTCGTCCGGCTCTTGAACACCGCGGTTCCAACGAAGCTCCCAAGAAGGCTTGGCGATCACAGGGCCGCCGGAAGAACCATCACAACATCGCAGCGTCAAAAACGAGGGACTATTTCGCGATTTCCTGTAGATTGCGGAATCGATTCTGAATTTGTGGAAAATTGGGAGACGATAAGACGAGAGTGAGGCGTTAAGAGATAGAGGGCGTATTGCTTGTGATGGTACGGACTGCATAGCTTATCGTAGCAAATTTCGAATGAAACGAAGAAGAAGGATAAAATTATTATTATTATTTGTCTGAACAGAGACGATAAGGTCTTTGTATCTGTGAAAGAGGAGAAATGTAACGTGTAGGATCACAATTTAACTCGAAATTATTGAGTTTTGATCCGATTCTATTTAATAGAGTTAATTTTTTTTATAAAAATTAAATTTGGGTAAAGTCGGATCAAATTCTTTAAAAGGTGAGATTGAGTCGGACTGATTTTAGAGTACAAAAATTTTGACTTGATATAACTCGAAGATAATAATATAATTTTTTTTAAAAAATAATTTATTATTATTATTAATTAATTCTTTATTTTATATTAAATTGAGTCGAATTTATATTTTAAAAAATTAAATTTGATCAGAGTCGAGTGAATAATATATTTTCTATGAATGAGATCAAATCGGATTGAGAATATATAATCTTTTGATCGGGTCAATTTAAGTAGATGATACATATTTTTTGGATCAGGTTGTATTGACTCAAAAATCAACCCAACCCTACCATTGTTATCCCTAGTTACATTTAAGCCGTTCGAGTTTGCTTGAAAACGCTGTCGGTTTAGGAAGAAAAATATAGGGGTAAACTACACCCATAACCACTCAACTCTAGGTAGATTTCATTTTGACCACCAATTTCTCAATTTCATTAATTAAACTATTTAACTATTTAAGTGTTTTCAATTATGTCACCAATAGTTGACATTTATTTTGTTTTGACAAAAAAAATAGAAACTTAACATTTAATAGAATAATTGATGTTTCAGTTAAAAATATGGTATAATTATATATTTGGTTCTTATTATTTACATATTTTATCAATTTATTCAAATTGGTGATTTTTTTGTTGATAAAATAATTTCGAATGGGTGTGTTACAAAGGGTAAACTATACATTTAATATTTAAACTATCAGTTTTGATATGTTATAGTACTTAAGTTTTCAATTTTTTTAAATCATAACTAATATTTAGTTTTCGTTTCATTTTAGTAACCTAACATTAAAACTTAATGCGTTTAACACCTAAATTATTAGTTTTAGTTTGTTTTAATACGTAAACTTTCAATTTTTTTCTTCAAAACTTAACGTTAAATTTTGAACGATGGTACTAAAAATGAAACAAAAACTAAAGTTTTTAACGGTGAGATACTAAAATGAAACAAAAACTAAACTTTATGTATGATTTTGAAAAATTAAAAGTTTAAATAATAGCCATTATTTAAAAGTTTAAATACCAAAACAGAATAAAACTGATAGTTTAAGTGATAAACGTATAATTTACCCTAAAACAAAACAAAAACCAATTATTTAATTTTAACACATTTCCAGGGAACAAAACAAAATTAAATATAAAAGAAGGGACTGGTTTTACAGTTTAACCTAAAAAGTACATATTCAAATTAAATCACATCAAAATCAGAACATCCTGAATTCCTAAATCCCTCATATTGCCACGTGTACGGTGATCAGCACCCACATCCATAAACCTTCAGCAGTCATCGTCCCCCACAAAAATTCAAATAGAAAAAGACAGAAAATAAAATAAAATAAAATAAAAGGACAAAATACACTATTTCTCATTAAACTTTACATCTCTCTTATTTTACTCACACTACTTTCAATTTTTCTAATTTATTCACTAAATTTTCGAATTGCTCATATTTTAATCGCTATGAATTAATCTATTATTATTTTAGTTTAAAATGATATTTATTATTATTATTTAATATAAAAATAATTTTATTATTATTTCAAAGGTCAATGGTAGGCGATTATTATTTTAACTCTTTTTAAATTTAATAATAATAAAATATTATTTTATTATTTATTTTAAATTATTTTATATTAAATAAAAAATTTCCATATCATACAATATAATAATAAAATAATCTAGAATGATCAAAATAGGAACAATTTGGAAGTGAAAGTATAGGGCATAAAATAGGGGAGAGAGTAAAGTAGAGGGATAAATGGTTTAGTTTAACCAAATAAAAAAGATTTTTTTAAAAGATAATCTCATTGGCCAAATCACCTTTGTATTCAAGTTTCGCGGCAATTCCATCATCCTCTCTGTCAATATATATATATTCTTTAAAGCTTTGTGTGTGTGTGTGTGTGTTTTAATTTATTATTATTATTTTTGAAAAATCTCTTTTTTTGTTGTTTTGTTTGGGGTAAAACTCTCTTAATGTACTCCCTCTAAAACCCTTTTGTTTGTCTTCATGATTTAGCTCAGATCGAACAGGGCGGAGAATTGGTAAGTGGGATTGTTTCCGATCTGTGAATTAGGGTTTCGAAAGCTGAGATATCGAGGCTGCGTGTTTCTTTCGGGGGTAAAAGTTTGTATATTTATGATTTTTTTGGAAGTAGTTTAGGTTCTTTACTGGATTTGAACCAGTTTTTTTTTCGAACCATTGACCATTCTAATTTCCTCTTCTTCTTCTGTACAGAATTATGCATTATGCTTTTGGAGTTCCTGCATTTTTTTTCTTTTTTGGATTTTTTTCTTATAATTTTAAAAATCATGTCATGGTTTAACGCAAGCTTTTTAATGGCTCTTTGAGAATTTTTTTTAGAATATGTAATTTTTTATCCTGGATTTGAGGTGCTTCAGTGTTTTATTTTTTATTTGTTTATTTTAAAAAAAATTAAACTTATTATTTTTTAGTTCGTTGCTGACTTCGATTTTGATTTGCACAATTATATTTCCTTTTTTTCTTTAAAAAAAGCTTTTCATATTCATTAACAAAACAAATTCCATTTTTGAACTGTATTTGTATTCTCCAGTAACATTTGCTGCCGGGGGTCTTTGATTTGTGCTGAATTATCAACTTTTCACATATTGATTGGCTAATAATTAAGTCGAAAATCTTTTATAGTTACTTTATTCTAGTTATGGCTAACATTTTCGGGTTTATGTTTGTTGATGAAATGCTTTAGACTGAGAAAGTTCTTAATGGCTCCAACAAGAAAATCTAAAAGTGTGAACAAACAGTATTTGAGTAGATATGAAGTATCTCCTGATAAAAGTCCTGGGAATTCAAGAAAGAGTAAGCCAAAGGTAAGTCATAAGTGTTTGGGTCGTTTCTCATCGATTATTTGATATTGATCAAATTATTCTTTTGCCATTGGCTGTTCGGTGATTACTTGGTTAATGTGTAGTTTGCTAATTGTTTGTTGTTTTGATGCATGGAACCTATTGTATAGAAGAAATTAACTGACAAGTTGGGATCCCAATGGAGCAACGCTGAGATTGAGCGATTTTATAAGGCATATCGAGAGTACGGGAAAGATTGGAAGAAGGTATGGTAAATTCTGTAGATGTACTATTACGTTGAGAAATATCAAAAGATTACATTCTTTTATGTTGGGATTCATCCAACACAGTAGGACTATAAACCTAATTAACATGTTTTATGCATATTATTTGTTAACTTTTTGATTATTGTGTTTAGGTGGCTGCTGCTGTGCATAATAGATCTGCTGAAATGGTGGAAGCCCTTTACTGTTTGAATCGGGTCTGTTTAGCCTTGAATGTAGCTTTAAGAACTAATCCCGCTCTTTGGTTTCTTAATTCCATTATCGGATGCTTATACTTTTACTGCTGATTGTTTCTGTACTACTCAAGAGAGTTTAAGAAAGAAAAAAATATTCTAAAAGATTAAAAAGGGCTTGAAACAATGACCTTATTAGTTAATGCCATTTCTTAACTTTAATGTGAATTCTCCAGATGCACTCAATTGAAATTTGATGGTTATTGTGCTTAGTAATCCATGCACCACCATAGTTTAATGTGCATGGGGAGTCATGTGCTTCAAGGACTGCTGTGAGTGTAGTTTTATTTGGGCCTTTATATGTTGGATGAGGCCTGAAAGTTGCTTTCGTTCGACACTATTTGGTTATGAATATTGTTAACTTGATGTGTTTTTATATTAATTGTTTTATTTTCAGGCTTATTTATCTCTGCCAGATGGAACAGCTTCTGTGATTGGCCTTATAGCAATGATGACCGACCACTACAATGTCCTGGTGAGACTGCTTTTGATGTTGTGAAATATTTGCAAGAAAATCTCTGATAATTGCAGTTCTTTTTATTAGTCATCGTTTTGCTTCAACAAATCTTGTTTCCCTCCTTTGCTATTAGTTACTATCAACTTTAAAGCTATTCCACAAATTGCATTCTGCAATCAGCATTCTTGTCAATTAAAGCATTTTATTTGTGTATTTCATTCTTTGGAAGTAAATTAATTCCTCATATAGTATTTGCAGCTTACATCTTTCCCCTTTTAGGCTCTCAGAATTCATTGAACTCTGAATGTCCTTCCTATATTGGTCGTCTGAGAATTGAAAATTTTGTACCATGTCAACTGACAGGGAGGGAGTGATGGTGAAAGAGAGAGCAATAAACCTTCAGACACGCCGCGGAAAGCCCAAAAGCGCAAGCAAGCAAGGGTTCATCTTGACTCCTCAAAAGAAGATGTTCAACCTCGATCAATTGCATCTAGTGAGGGATGCCTATCTCTGTTGAAAAGGGCAGGTCTTAATGGTAAGATACATTGTTATTATTAGTACTCAATTGCATGTACCTTCAATTTCGTTCTTTTGTTTATCAAAAGTGTTTTTAACTTTTTTTTTGATAAGATTTGAAGGTCTCTTTAAAAACCTCCTTCTTGATTAATGAAGCTTGTAAAAAAGCTCCTTAATCATGGGAAGGAGGAAAAGAGTGCCTTATAATTTCATTGAAGAAAATAAGAATTACAACCTTGGAAAGAAAAATCCAAGAAATACCCTTACAACAATTCTTGAGCCTTAAAACCGAACTATAGAAGTGAACAACATAATAATCAACCTATACCAGCCTTTGCTAGAGCATCGGCATCCACATTAGCTGTCCTTGCAATCCATCTAACAACCCCCCCGACGGTTTTAAGACACTCAACAATATCTCTAACAATGAAACCATAAACAACTGGACATGGGACAACCTTATTGATCCAGTCTACTGCAACTCTGCTATCACTCTCTATGATCAACCTATCTTGAACTCTCCCTAGGACAGAGGTAAAGAAAGAGATACCCCTTTGGATAGCTTTAAGTTCCTTCAATGTTGGAGGTCCAGAACCATCCGGTTCCTGAAAAGAACCAAGGATTGCACCAGAATGATCCCTCATAAGACCACCCAGACCTGATTTTTCCCAATCACAACTAATTGCTGCATCCACATTCAACTTGATGAAACCCGTAGGGGGAGGTAACCAAGGGGTTATGGAAGACTTCAAGAAATTGTAGGACGAGTAAGAATCCCCTATAGAAGGATCAGAGATTAAGGAGTCCTTAGGAATAGAAACATCCTTATTCTTTGCTAAATACCAAGAGGCCAGCCTAACTCTTGTTAAGAAGAATAATTCAGTCTGATCGAGCTTCCCCCCTTCAAAAACTATGTAATTCCTGAATTTCCAGATTGTCCAAATAACAGCCCCTGGAATGAAAGTCCAAATTACCGAATTAGATTTCAACTCATCCCAAGCAAGAAGAAAATTTTTTGCTTCTGCAGAAAACACAGAACTAAATCTCCAGAAATTTAGAAATTTATTCCACAAAGACCACGCAACCGAACAGGAGAAGAACAGATGCGAAGAAGATTCTTTTTTCCTTCTGTAGTTATATCTCTTTTTGACAATAAATGCATTTGAGAGACTAAAAAGGAAAAGAGTTAAAATGGTAGAATTTGTACAAATATGTATTGGAAGTGAAGCAAATATTTGGGCTTGAAGTTATGTTTGGTCTGCCACAGAGACGAAGTGTAATGATATCTGAAGGAAATGTTATTAATCAGAAGGGAATAAGCAAATAAATGTCTCCATCAATGATTCTCCAATTCACACAAATAACAATAGAAGAGAAAACAAAAGCTTTACTTGTTGGTCAATTCTTTTAGGAGGATCTTTCATGTGCAAGATAAACTCACAAGCTAATGTTGGAGCCTTTTTTCTTCTTATTCATATTTTAAGACTTTTTTCAGTTATTATTTATATTTTTCTTCTTATGCATTTTCTCGTGCCTATCTCTAGGGAATCAAAGTGTCTGCATATAGCATCATTTGTTCATAGAGCTGTGGAGACAGTTTGTTCATGAGCTAGGAAAATTTTTCAGTGTCTATGGGATAAATGGAAATTTGGTATAATAATTGGTTGTGTTTATGCAATCATTTGGTATAATATTTGGTTATGTTTGTGCAATCATAATTTGTTCTTAGTCCCCCTCCCTCTGCATTTAATGGAGAAGAAGGCCATGTGTCATTTATGTTTGCCAAGCACATGAAATGTCAATGCAGTTGAAAGTTTATCATAATAATCCCCATAACCATGATTGGGGTTCTCACTTGGTTTGGCTTTCTTTTAGATTTTTTTCCTCATGCATGTCGGAAAAGAACTCCTCGCGTCCTTGTTTCATACTCGTATAGGAAAGATGATACTGAGATTTTTATTCCACCAACCAAAAGAGTTAAGAAGTCTGAGGTTGATGACGAGGATGATGAACATGTTGCTGCATGGACATTGACTGGGACATTGCAAAAGGGAGGCTCTCCTCATACTTCTCATTCACCTTATAAAAGAGCAGAACACCAAAGATCCTCACCTCTTCGTAGATATGATAGGATGGTATATAAACTCTGATTTAGTTTATAACCTCTTTTTGGTTATCTAGCCCTATCTGTTTAATAATTATTTATTCATGCATTTTTCTATTGGCATGCAATTAGTTGCCGCAACCACAATCAGAGACAACTGAGGCCAAGCTTCGTGATTCTTCATATGAATGCCGGATCAAAGGCAGGCCAGGGGAAATGGAACTTGTAAGTGGAACTTATGCCAGAGATACAGACTCTTTGATGGATGTGGACGGCACTGATACTGTTGAAGTTCATCGAAAGGGGAAAAACTTTTACAGGAAGAAAATTGAAGTTAAAGAGATGAAGAGCAATCTGTCTGATGATAGTGGAGAAGCATGTAGTGGCACCAAAGGAATTATAGATAATGCTCTCCGAGGGAAACTTGTTATGGAGATTTCTAGTGCAGAAAAGAAACTTTCACCATGTAGTGAGAGGAAAAGAATCAAGGAGCTTGTCTTTGAAGGTATGAACTTGAGATCTGGGGTTGCATGATGTCATAGTTCTACTTAATCCGGGTACAAAAAGTATAAAGAAAAGGAAAAAAAAAAGATAAAAATAAAAAAAGAATTTGATGTTGCTTCATTGCTCAAGTATAGTGGTCTTCTTGCAACTGTTTTCCTTTTAGATTTCTTGGTACATACAAGCTCAACATTGGACTTTTATTCGTTTTCTATGTGTAGATCAAAGCTCTTCTCTAGATGCTTTGCTGACACTAGCCAATTTGTCCACTTCAATGTTGCCAACATCGATAACGGAATCTGGTACGGAGTTAGTTTCTTCTATTTCAGCTTTTTTTGCTTCAATATATGAAATGCTATCTAGGATTCCTGTTACTTTTCTTGTTTTAGTCAACCATTATATGTTTTTTCCGCTCCATTTATTTAATGCATGCTGGAAGGATACTTTTTTCTTATTCCTTTTGTTATTATTCCATGTTTGTCTAGAATCTTCTGTCAAAATGAAAGAGGATAGAATCACATTTGAAGCTGATGATCAGTCTAGTGTTCTTGAAGCTGCATCTATAAGTCATCATAGAGATAAAATAAAGCAACGTGGGCCAAATAAAAAGGTGCTCAACTTACTCAATGGATCTGAAGGTACCACCTCTCGAAAATCAACAGTTGGTAGGTACTCTGCTAAGTATGGTGGTGTTATTTCTGAACCAAAACAACAGAAAGAATCTACGAATAACTCACGGAAAAGAAAACAAAAATCCTCCTGCCCAAAGGTAACCATTAAATATTCTTTCTTGTAACTATTTCACTTCAAATCATGATTTCTGACAATCTTTTGTTCTAACTGCAGGTTTTGAATGCTGAAGCTCCTCCAATGGATTCTCATTTGAGAAAATGTTCCAATAATGAGGTAGGAATCCTGTAACATTTTACGTACTTGTTTAATGCGTGTTAAGAGAGCAAATCATGTATGTGTTATTTTAATAATACTATCGCCTGGATGATGCTGTATTGTCTTGTAGGAAATGGCCAAGGAAGAGAAGAAATATCTCAATAAAGGTAAATCTGGTGCTCAGCAAACATTATTCAGAGTGCCAGCGGAATCTGTCACTAATAATGATCCAAAAGTGGCTGGAATTGATTCAGTGGTGCCGACTTCACAAGTTGCTGCTTCAAACTCTATTAGCTTATCAACTAAGCATCAAAGTAGACGTAAAATGAACCTGAAGAGAGCTTTATTTTCAACAAACAAAAATTTGTCTGCTTGCTCACTGGAAAATCAGCCAAACGGCCATTCTCTTCCACAGGAGACACTAAAGGTAGAAGCTGATCTTCCTCTATTAATTTCCATCCAAAAGGAATTTTGAAAATTTGGAGCATAATTTATGGATCTTATCAAATTTCAGCAACGGCTCTCTTCCTGCATATCGTCCAACCTGGCACGACGATGGTGCTGTTTTGAATGGTTTTACAGTCCCATTGATTATGCTTGGTTTGCTAAAAGGGAGTTTGTGGAGTACTTAAATCATGTCAGTTTGGATCACATTCCAAGGCTCACTCGTGTCGAGTGGGGTGTCATAAGGAGGTAAGTTTGTCAGTATCCCTACTGTTGAGAAATTTGGAAAAACAGAAATTTTAGAATGCAATTGCTTGTAAATACAGTTCCCTTGGCAAACCACGGAGGCTTTCTGAACGCTTTTTATTTGAAGAGAGGGAAAAACTTAAACAGTATCGGGAGTCTGTGAGACAACATTATACTCGACTACGCCTTGGTACAAGGGAAGGACTTGCTACAGATTTGGCACCCCCTTTATCTGTTGGACAACGAGTAATTGCCATCCACCCTAAAACAAGGGAAGTTGATGATGGAAAAGTACTTTCGGTGGATCACGATAGGTGTAGGGTTCAGTTTGACATTCTGGACTTAGGAGTTGAATTTGTCATGGTAACTGCATTTCTATTTAAATATTTGGAATTTAGATCATTAATTTTCTCCCATTTTTGAAGTCACACACACATGTTTGCAGGATATTGATTGTATGCCAATAAATTCGTTGGAAAACATGCCAGAAACTCTTAAGAGACAAAACATTGCTTTCGATAAATCTTCTTTGGCGCCTAGAGGGTCTCAAGGTAATGGAAATTTAGAGCTTGGTGGGTCCAAGGCTTTCACTTCAAGTGGGTGTATGGAAAATGCAATGGGCCCTGTGAACATGTTGGCAACTCCAATAAAGGTTAGGTGTGCCTAAGAATTGCTTTTGTTAATCTAGATTTTATGTTTTTTTCTTTTCTGATTTAGCATGTTTATTGTTAATCTCTGTTGTATGATTTGAAATTTCAAAACAGATTTACAATGCTATAGCTGGCCCTTTGCTTTTTCTATGGTTCAAATACTCTAGGAGTTCACAATCAGATTTAGAATTAGAATTTCGTAGCACTAATGTTAAATATTAACCAGTAACCAACACAACATATATGTGTTTTGGCCAGGTTGATGTAAAACATAGTGCTTTGCATGGTAAGCCAGCTGTTTCGAATGTTGTTAGTGCACATCAAGCAGCCTATGGTCACCCCCTTACAATGGCACATATTCAAGGGAGAGAAACTGATATACAAGTTATGTCTGAACTGAGTCATGCTTTGCACAAAAAGGTTATTATGCTATCTTGATAGACTTAATTGTTTATAACCTTTTTGAAATTCATTTTAACACTCCTGATGTTTTTCATTCTAGAGTAATACTGTCTAGCATGCTCATATTGATAATTGATTTGCTAGTAGATAATTCCGTCTTTGAAAAATGATCTCTTTCATATTGATCTATTGGGACAAAATATACTCGTCATACATACTTATGTTACTCTCTGACAAGTGTGACTGTCAATTATGGATGCTTTTCTAAGATTTCATGTATTTGGAGGGTTATATCCGTATACCATGTCTAGATATGCACTAAACAAGAGTGTTTGACTTGAGTATTTCAATTGAAAATGAATTAGAGTAATATAAAGACATATCCATATCTGACACTTACCCTAAAATCCAGGTAATATAGGCAGAATCACGTTACTGGGGCTGATTTTTTATGTATCTATAAAACATTGCAAGAAGCTTTACTGACAGAACTTAGACATACTAACAATGACGTATCAGAAATCCAAAATGGGGAGGGTTGTTTAAAGGGTTCTGAACATTTCAAAGAGCATGTTACCACGTTACTTGTACATCTAAAGGAAGCCAGTGCCCAGGCATGTGGCTACCAATTATTGATAACAGATTTGGTTGCAACTTTTTTTTCCTCTGTTTTGATTTCGTGTACTCTTCTTTGACAACATCAGATTCGGCATTTTTTTTTTCTGCAGGCTTCTTCTGCATTACTTAACTTGAGACAACGTAATACTTACCCTGCAAACCCTCTATTACCATGGCAGAAACCCCCAACTAATCTCGATTTCTTCAGTAGCTTTACAAGCTGTACTTTGGATAGTTCTCTTATTGCACAAGAAGTAGGGTCTGTTGTGGGTGACATTGTGAATGGCTCGAGATTGAAAGCATATGCCTTGGTCGATGTTGCCATCAAGGTACACATATCTTTTCATCTTTTTCTATAAGCTTATGGTCGATCTTACTTGGAAATGAATATGAATGCATTTCAAGTTTTTCCATTTGTTGTGGATATGTATTGGAGATGAGTAATTTAAAAGATATGATGAATTGAGAGAAGCACTTTTATTTATTTTTTGGACAAATAGAATTGAGAGAAACGTTAACTCATGGTTTAATGAAAATTATCATGAACTATTTACTCAGGCTGTGTCATCAATGAAGGAAGGCGAAGATGCATTTATGAGGGTTGGAGAAGCTTTGCATTCTTTAGATAAAAAGCAATTCACATCCGACATTACTATGCCGACAATCAAGTTGCCGGAGCACAATCAGGCGAATGGCTCGATTTTCATTCCATCAAAACCAATGCCCAATAGCTCGATTTCCGGAAAAAATGAGGAACAAGTTCCTTCAGAGCTTATCACATCATGTGTCGCTACTTTGCTCATGATACAGGTAAAACCCAGAACCAGACCATTGCTTGATACCTGTCATTTTAGTTACCAAAAGGTCCAAAACACTGATTCATACATATTTCTTCATTACAATCTTCTTAAACCAGATATTTGTATATCATATTATATTCATTTTTTTTTGTATATTAATATGGTACCCTATCGTATTTTAGTTACTTTGCCATTTCTTATTCGAATAATCGTGTCCGTATATAAAATTATCGAAGTCTTGGTGCTGATTATTGTTTGTATTGGAACATGTAGAGATGTACAGAGAGACAGTTTCCACCAGCAGATGTGGCTCAAGTAATTGATTCTGCCATTGCAAGCTTACATCCATGCTGTCCCCAAAACTTGCCCATTTACCGGGAAATACAAATGTGTATGGGCAAAATTAAGACTCAAATATTAGCTTTAATACCTTCTTTAGTATGATATATATTCTTTCTTTTCATTTGATATACCTACTTTAATTCAGATATAAACTTCTATTTAGATATTCGATCTATTGATCGATTAATTTGGATTGAGTGTTGCAAAAGTCTATTATGAGGCGATCTTATCCATCCATTTTGTTTCATTAACAACATCAGAATATATATGACCTTTAAAATACTCCTTTATTAATTGAGTTATTTCATTGTATTACAAAATTGCTGGAATCTTGGTTCCTAGTATAATCACTTTTACAATTTATTTTATTCACAATGTCGGAATAGACTATCACTAATACCTCTTAATTTGTTTGTTTGTCATTTTAAATAAAAATTTTAAAAAATATAATAGTGACATGTGCTAGATAATGATATTTTCAACAGTCGTTACGGCGTAGGTACCATAATGTGTAACCGAGAAAAAGTTAAATACCTATTTTGAGAAAAAAATCTTTGCTCCGGGCGAATTGATTTCAGCTCCAAGCTTTAGTTGTCTACACTGCAATTTTCACCTCCATCCCGAACGTGCCCAAATACCCCTCACATTGACCAACACCCTTTGCATCCCAACACTATGTTCTTTGACTCCGTCCACCACCAGAGCTGCCGTATGGAGATGGTGATTGTGCATAAGTTTTCTCTGCGTTAAATGTGCTCTCATCTTATCGGAATTTGATTGGTAGAAAAAACAAATCAAAGTATGAGTTCAAAGATGATGGCCACCAACTTCCTTCATCTTCCTCCAAAACCATAAAGATGAACTCAAAAGAGCCTATTGCTCAAAAGAGCTTGCAACGGGTGCATGTTGCCTATCTCGACTCCATTTCATTATTGTTCCAAGTGCGATTTCTTCCTTTACAAAACATTTGCTGAATTACCCAAAATCAAACATCACTGATTCCGACTGCCAGCAATCACCCTTGAAGCCCATGATTGGAAATAATGTTACTTGTGTCGTCACGTTTTGCCTAAGGCGTGACACAGTTCCTTATCATCACCAGTTGTTCGGGATTTCCATAGGCACTAGACTCAAACCTGAAACAAACTGAGACATAAGAATAACTGAAACCAGTCACTCTCCAAACTGCTTGGGCGTCCCAACAACGACAACACATTGAACTATTCATTAATGTATTCCAAATTGAAAGATTTAGGGGCTGTTTGTTTGCCTCTTAATGGAATCATTCAGCGTTGAATGCTGAACCGTTCAGCATTTAGCGTGTTTGTTTTGCACATCTGAATGATTCAGTGCTGACTGATTCAACACAGAAGTACATTCTAAATCATTCAGAGCCAGTTATCAAACAACATGTCACATTCAGAATCAAATCATTCAGAGCCTTTGAATAATTCAACGCTTAATCATTCTGAAGTAAACAAACATCCCCTTAGTAAAGAATGTGTAGATAAAGATAATGCGAGGTGTTAGGAAATAAACCGAGTACGAGTAATTTCCCTATAACCAGATTAGTGAGAATGCGAAATAAAAGCGGAAAAATAATACCCGAAATTGATAACGGAGTTCAGCCAATTGTGCTTACGTCTCCGGGCTGCTGCAGATCTTTTACTAAGAGAAAATTTACAGGTGTTTACACAACACACTTGATAGAGAACTAGAAGATTTTGGGATGATTTTGAAGCTAAATGAGCTAGGGTATTTATAGTTGAAGCTTAGGACTAATCTTGTAAATACCCTAAAGTGTGCAATGACTAAAAAGGTAATTAATCCATTTACAATTTCAATAAAATATTGGGGCACAGAATTCGGTGCCCCTTTTGTTGAAAATGAATGTGCTGTGCCCTCCAATTTTGAAAATTTCTGCTGAAAACAATTCAGTTGGGCCCCACCTTTGATTACTTTCAACAATCTCCCACTTGAAGACTGATTTTAATATGTCTTCACACCTCGATCAGTGCAGCAGCATTTCTAGTCTTGTTATTCTAGCATGCCAACTGAAGCTGAACACAACTTCAGTTTGTCTGTGGTCACCGTCTTTGTCAACATGTCTGCCGGATTTTGAGCTCCACTAATCTTTTCAAGTTTCAAAATCCCATCTTCCAGAAGAGACCGAATAAAATGATATCTCAATTGTATATGCTTCGTTCTGGAATGAAAAGACGGATTCTTTGCTAGATGGATAGCACTTTGATTGTCGCAATACAAAACATTGTTTTCTTGTTTCTTGCCTAACTCTTCCAAGAAACTTTGGAGCCAAACCATCTCCTTGCTGGCTTCCGTAACAGCGACATATTCTGCTTCAGTTGTGGAGAGAGAAACTATCTTCTGTAGTTGAGAAACCCAACTCACTACAGTACCTCCTAGAGTATAGACATACCCTGTAGTGCTCCTTCTGATGTCAACATTTCCGGCTAAGTCAGCATCTACATAGCCTGTCAGTATCGTATCTCCATCTTTGAAACAAAGTACTTTGTTTGTGGTACCCCACAGATATCTGAGGATCCATTTGACTGCTTCCCAGTGTACCTTGCCTGGATTATTCATGTACATGCTAACAGCTTCCACTGTATGAGCAATATCTGGTCTGGTACAAACCATGGCATACATCAGACTTCCAATTGCTGAGGTATACGACACCTTCACCATGTGTGCACGTTCTTCCTCCGTCTTTGGTGATTGGTCTTTGGAGAGTCTGAAATGAACACCTAAAGGTGTACTTACTGGTTTAGCATCTTGCATATTGAACCTGGAGAGTACTTTGTTGATGTACTCAGCCTGTGATAACATCAAAGTCCCCGACTTTGTGTCTCTCTTGATCCTCATCCCAAGAATCTGCTTTGCAACGCCCAGATCCTTCATAGCAAACTGCTTCGACAATTTTTGCTTCAAGTGTATAATCTCTTGCATGTTTGAGCCTGCAACGAGCATGTCATCAACGTACAACAATAAAATAATGAAGCTATTGTCGAACCTCTTGATGTAGCAACAATGATCTGCTTGGCATCTGGTAAAACCACTGCTACCCATGAAACTATCGAACTTCTTGTACCACTGTCTAGGAGCTTGTTTTAAACCATACAAGCTCTTCTTCAACCTGCATACCAGGTTTTTCTTGTCTGTCTCTATGAAGCCTTCTGGCTGCCTCATATAGATTTCTTCCTCCAAATCACCATGAAGAAAAGCTGTATTTACATCTAACTGCTCAAGATGTAAATTCTCTGCAGCTACAATTTTCAACACCAGTCTGATTGTAGACAGTTTTACTACTGGAGAGAAAATTTCATTGTAGTCAATACCTTCTTTTTGCTGAAAACCTTTGACTACCAATCTTGCTTTGTAGCGTTTGCTCCCATCGTGCTCTTCTTTGATCCTGTAAATCCACTTGTTGTGGAGCGCTTTCTTGCCTGGTGGTAATTCAGCTAATTCCCACGTCTGATTTGATATAAGCGAGTCCATCTCATCTTTCATGGAAGACTCCCACTTGAATGAATCATCCACCTGCATCGCTTCATCATAGCACTCTGGTTCACCATTGTCAGTCAGCAACAAGTAGTGCAAAGAAGGCGAATACCGTTGGGTTGGTTTAGGAATTCTGGAGGAGCATCTCAGTTCTGGTGTGCCTGGTTCTTCCTCTTGAACTGCTTCAGGACTGATCTGAACATCATTTCTAGAAATCTCCTCGAACTCAGCAAATTCCTTTGTTTCAGCTTCAGTATTACTTGATTCTGCGGTTGACCTGTCTTTGTACATCACATTTTCATTGAAAATAACGTCTCTGCTTCTGATGATCTTTCGATTTTTGTAGTCCCAAAATCGGTAACCGAACTCATCACCACCGTAACCAACAAAGACGCATTTATTGGACTTAGCATCAAGTTTACTTCTTTCAGCAGAGTTTATGTGTACATAAGAAATACAACCAAACACTCTTAAGTGTGAAATGTTTATTTCTTTTTTGCTCCAAGCTTCCTCTGGTATTCCGCCATCCAAAGGAATTGAGGGCCCACGGTTGATCAGGTAAGCTACAGTGTTGATAGCTTCAGCCCATAGAGATTTGGGCAATCCGACATGTATCCTCATGCTTCTGGCACGTTCATTCAGAGTTCTGTTCATGCGCTCTGCTACGCCATTCTGCTGCGGTGTTATGAGAACTGTTGTCTCCATCTTGATCCCATTGTTTGCGCAGAAATCTCTGAATCTACTGTCTCTGTACTCTCCTCCATTGTCAGACCTCAACCGCTTGACTTTCAAACCAGTCTCATTTTCCACCATGGCCTTCCATTTTCTGAAGGTATCAAAGACTTCTGATTTCTTCTTCAGAAAATAAACCCATACATTCCTTGTTGAATCATCGATGAAGGTGACATAATATAGTGAGCCTGCAAGAGATGGAACTGGGGATGGTCCCCATACATCAGTATGAACCAATTCTAACCTTTCTGCCTTTGGAGTCTTGCCAATCTTTGTAAAGCTGACTTTCTTTTGTTTGCCAAAGATGCAATCCTCGCATAGTCCGACATCTACATTCTTTAGATCCGGCAGCTTCCTTTTTGACAAAAGGGTCTTCATCCCTTTCTCGCTCATATGGCCAAGCCTTTGGTGCCATAGGTTTGATTTTCCGTCAGCATCTGCTACTGCAATGATATTCTCTAAATTCGAGGTTACATAGAGAGTACCAGTCTTCTTACCACGAGCAATGACGAGTGCTCCTTTGGTAATCTTCCATTCACAGCCTGAAAAGGTTGTACTATAACCTTCTCCATCAAGCTGTCCAACAGAAATCAGATTTCTTTTGAGGTCAGGAATATGTCTCACTCCTGTCAGCTTCCAGGTGGTCTGGTTTGGCAGCTTTAGTCGGATGTCTCCTTTTCCGACGATCTTCAAGGTTTCATCATCAGCAAGATGAACCTTCCCAAAATCACCACTGATATAGTTCTCCATGATTTCTTGGCATGGGGTGGAGTGGAAAGATGCCCCTGAATCCAAGATCCATGATTCAATCGGACTGTTGACGCTTAGAATCATGGCATCACCTGTCTCCTCTGTCATGTTGGCAGATTCCTGTGCGCCGGTATTTTTCTTCG